CTGCTGGCTTGGCGGGCCAGATCTGGCCCACGGAGGCCCTTTTGCCCACCTCTGTGTAAGACATGGTATTTGGCCTCTGATTCAGAGGCAGCAGCGCAGAGGGGTTGGGAGGGAAGGTGGCTCCACAGGAGCTGGTATGTGCTCGGAGCCAACCTAAAAGCCGACTTCCTGAACATACCAGCTCCTGCCTACCTCCCCCACCTGCTGCCTGCTCCCCTCTGCGCCTTTCCCCACGCTGCTGCATCTGATACAAAAGCACCAGCATGTGAGGGGCACAGGGTGGGAGCCAGCATGCATGGGAAGCCTGCTTAAAAGCCAGCTCCCCATATGCAGCGGCTTCCGTGGAGCCGCCTCCCCCTGTATGTAAACAAAATACCAAAATAAATGCATTTTAACATCCCTACACTATACAACTGCTATCACTGACCACACCACTACATTTTGTGACATCTGCCCATCTTCCCAGCAGTGATTTTATATCACGCAAGTAATGGACACAAGAGTCCTTTGCCCCAGTGAGCAGCACTTAAAATCACCTGATCAACTGAAGCAACCCAGGAAGAAGAGGATTTGGTGGACTATTATTCCCTTAATGAGATCAACTTTTCTGGAGCCTCCTGGAAAAACTAACCAGTTGAACTTCATTTTGGGAATGAAGGAAACTGAACTGAACTTGGGAAACTCAGACTCAGTAGCATCAGACTGGTGTGTTTCGAAGGTCCTGATACAGAATTATTACTTATCCCTGTCCCACACAGGTTATGCTGAAGTGGCTAAACATGAACATCTTCTCTAAAGCATTTGGAACGTTCAGTTTTTTGGAAGGCAAACCAGGTTTTCCAATCAATTACTTGCAAAAGGAAAGAAATCTATTGTTAAATTAATATGGAAAACTTGTCAGGCTTTCTGGACTCCAACTTTTTATTTTCTTTGGATTACAGTCTCCTAGGCATTCACTAGTACGTCACAACAAGAGACAAACAACTCCAGTGCAACAGGACAAAAACGTAAACGCCATTATGACTAGGTCTCTGTCAACTGGCACAGAAATCACCTCAGACACTGCAAATACATATCTGGTATATCCGACACTTTACTACCAAGTCCTAGAGTCAAGTTGCCCACAGAGTTCCAGCTTTACTTCACGAAGGCTCTTCCCCTAAGCATCTTTCTTGCTTTGCTTCCAAGCTCACACAAAGCAGTTGAAAACGAAGAGTTAATGTCTTCAAAGACATATGCCTCAGCTACATGCATAAAACTAGCAATTGTGGGTCCAACTGGACATGATTGCAAATGCATAGACATTAATATGGTCAACAGGTACTGCCTGATGGAACACATTATTGTGAATAAACAAAAGCGCAAAAATAAGTGCACAAGATCAGGGACAATTCACCTAGCAAGGGCACAAAATGCCTATCTGACTGTGTTATTAGGTACGTACAATTAGATGTGTGACCCTTTCAAGCAGAAGTGCTAGTATCCATCTAACTTCTGGTGACCCCAGTCTCTGTTTGCCAGAGGCTGGAAATGGATGACAGGGGAGGGATCACTTCATGATTACCTATTCTGTTCACTCCCTCTGGGGCATCTAGAATTGGCCAGAAGACAAGTATCAGAGGGGTAGCCGTGTTAGTCTGAATCCGCATAAACAACGAGAAGTCCTGTGGCACCTTATAGACTACCAGATTTATTGGAGCATAAGCTTTCATGGGCAAAGACCCACTTTGTCAGATGCATGTAGTGGAAATTCCAGAGGCGGGTATCAATATACAGGCACATTGCACCTCCATGTTGTGAGGCGGGTATAAATATACAGGCACATTGCACGCTCTTAAGCTAGAAGTGGGCCACATCCTCTCTGACTGAACAGACCTTGTTATCTCTGGCCTTCCTCTTGATTGGTACTCCTTTCTTTTCATGTGCCTGTATATTTATACCTGTCTCTGGAATTTCCACTACATGCATCTGACGAAGTGGGTCTTTGCCCACGAAAGCTTATACTCCAATACATCTGTTAATCTATAAGGTGCCACAGGACTTCTTGTTATACAGATTCAGACTAACTACAAAGTGGGTCTTTGCCCATGAAAGCTTATGCTCCAATACATCTGTCAGTCTATAAGGTGCCAAAGGACTTCTCGTTGTTTATGTTGGAAGACAGGACACAAGGCTAGATGGATATTTGGTCTGACCCAGTATGGCCATTACGTTCTTCAGTCTTTGCAATTTTTGTTCTTGTTTTTCTATAAATCAAAACACTCAAAAAACTTACAAATCCATGTTAGAACATACCCACTTTAAACCATACACACGTCTAGTTTCCAAAAGCTACACCAATGTTGATAGGGACTTAATAAAAAATCCTCAGTCATTGACTCTAAAACCAAAGACATCCAAAGTGGATACTATTTTCAACACTGGAGTCATAGGCAAAAGGGCTGATGCCAGGATAGAGCGCCAGTGGCTTCTCACCAGCAGTCCCAGAAGCAATTAGGTGTTAGATAATGATGAAGGCTGGAGGTTGGTTCTGCAAAGTAAAGCCATAAAAACTTGCAGGTACGATTCTGAATTTTCCCAGGGAGTAATTGTGTTCATCTAGGTGTCTGAGAATAATGTTCTGTGTCAGTGACAATAAGCATACGGGCCTATATTGCTGGGATTACCACAGAAGCATTTTTCAAAAAATGGTTAAACATTAGCTATCCTCCAGTCACATAGTACAGAAGCTGATTTAAGGGATAGGTCATATACCACAACTGATAGTTCTCCAATGTTATATCTGAGGTTCTTCGGAGCTCTTGGGTGACTATCATCTGATTCCAAATTCTGTCTACCCACACCTCAAACTGGAGCAGTTCCTTAATTTAGTCACCTAAAAAGAATGTCTTAGATGTGAGAATCTCCCTCATGTCCTCTGCAGTGAAAATGGATGCAAAGAATACATTTAGCTTTTCTACATCGGCCTTATCTCCTTGAGTGCTCCCTTACCGCCTTGATCAGCTGTCTGGTGGTCTCCTCACTGATTGTTTGGCAGTCTTCCTGCTTCTAGTGTACTTAAACTTCCTGCTGCTAGTTTTTAAGTCTTTTCCCAATTGCTCTTCAAATTCTTTTTGGTCTGCCTAATTATACTTTTACACTTGACTTGCCACAGTTTATGCTCCTTTCTATTTTCCTTCTTGTTGTTTCACTGTGATGGCATTTACTATGTTTTTAATTTGGGATATACATGTAATTAGCGCTGTTATTATGGTGTTTTTAAAACGATTCCATGGCGCTTGCAGCCACTTCACTTTTGTAACTGTACTTTTTAATTTCTAACTAGCATCATAATTTTTGTGGAGTTCCTCTTTCTGAATTTAAGTGCTACTATGGTGGACTTCACCAAAGGATGTTAAATTTAATTATATTAGTGTCGCTATTACCAAGCAGCTTATCTATATCCACCTCTTGG